ACCGTTTTATTAATGACTGCCGTAAAGGAGTTTCATCCAGGTCGAATGAACATGTACATGCGTATTCTATACAAAAAGTGTCTATCCTACGTCCCTGACTATGCATGAACATGAAATCTGTCAAAGTTAGCCGGAAATCGGCTAAAACGGTCACTGTGGACAGGATTTGACCTCAGCTACACGTGCGCTGCGCGCGGGCTGACTGACATACGATATGTACAACGTACTTGCATGTACATGTACATTGTGGACTGTGCATGTTTTAAAGCAGAGTAATTGTCAACCTGAAGTTTTAAGCGTGCGCAGGGCATGTCCGAGTTTGCTTATTGCCTTGAAGCTTTGAAATATTTTAGACCTACCCTTAAATAGACAATTAAAGTAAAAACTAATATAAAAACTGCCATGGTTGATTTTTCAGGAATTTTTTAAGGAAAAAGGGTCTTTTCATTTTAACTTCCGGTCCGATGACGTCATACACCTTAAACTTTGCACACGTCTTAAGTGGGTCAAGGTCATCATATACACCAATTTTTAGGCGATTCCGACAAACTTCGCCACAGACATCTGTTCAAAATACATTTTTGAAAATATTCAACCTGTCGCTAGAGGGCGCTCGAAGATTGCATGACGTCATCGGTAGATGATTTGAAGAATACTATCAGCCAAGGGACTAACACCGTTAAAAGCAAGTTCATATCTATTACCACTTTTAAATAATAAGCCACTTCCGGTTTGGGCCTTTTTCGACCGGAAGCAAGGGTCACGTGATTTTACGCACACTGAATGAAATAAAGACCTCAACCTACTCTACCACTTGCCGGCAACAGAATGCTGCGGACGCGTACGGTTGATTTCTTATGCATTTTTAAATATTAAAAGTGTCACAATTAAATTGCCCATAAATAAACACCAGATGACGTCATCATGACGTCATCATTACACAATGTTGTTTGAATTAGGGTCATTGCTTGGACAAAGATTGGTGTAAATGAATTACTGGCAAAGTGTCGAAAATGCCCTCTGAAAATTGACATTTTTTAAAACATTTCTGTGTACAAAGTCTATGGGAAAAATTAAATATTCAAAAATCTATAATAAATCACGTGATGACGTCAGCATGACGAAAAGTTTCGGCGCACATCTTCAGATGGTGGTCTATGTGTGTGCCAGGTTTGAAGTCGATCAGATTTGAAAAAAAGCCAAAAGTGACTTGTAGAACGAAAACACGTGTTATCCTATGAGAAAAAAGTCTGAAAAACAAAAGAGAAAAAAAAAAATAACAGAAACAAGAGCTGTTTCGGTGTGTACACCGAAACAGCTAAAAAAAAAAAAAAAAATGAGAACAAAAACAAAGGCTTTTCCGCACTATGCGGAAAAGCCAAAAAAAAAAAATGAGAACAAAAACAAAGGCTTTTCCGCAACTTTGCGGAAAAGCCAAAAATCAGAACAAAAAGAAAGGCTTTTCCGCAACAATGCGGAAAAGCCAAAAATCAGAACAAAAAGAAAGGCTTTTCCGCATTTTTGCGGAAAAGCCCCCCCCAAAAAATGAGAACAAAAACAAAGGCTTTTTCGCAAAATTGCGAAAAAGCCAAAAAAAAAAAAACGAGAACAAAAAGAAAGGCTTTTCCGCACTTTGCGGAAAAGCCAAAAAATGAGAACAAAAACAAAGGCTTTTCCGCAATTTGCGGAAAAGCCAACTAGAAATGTGTTTGTGGACAAACACAAGCTGTTTCGGATATTTGAAATACTCTGTGCACGTGATGAACAATAAGTGACGTCACTACAAATGTCATCTATAGCAGCATATTATACGTACATGTCAAGTTACAACCAAATGAAACATATATAGTTCTGTAGATATAGGTCTATAAAAAAATTCCCCTTTAAGGGATGTCACATGACATTTCATGATGACATTACTTGAATTTTCATCTATAACACAACTCAGTATGAGTGCCTATCGAGTTTCCATCCAATCGGACTTGTACTTCAGAAGTTATAAAGCGATTTGCAAAATGCACATTTAAAATGCCGTCACGTGACACATGACGTCATCGTTACAAAAATCATCAGGGACCATCTTCGGTTGCTGGTCTGAGTATCTGCAAAGTGTAAAGACATACGAAAGTGCCAAAGTGTAAGGTTTGAAGAAAAACGTGTACAAAACCTATGGGGAAAAATGCATCTTTAATGTGACGTAACCTGATACCCGAGGATGTCACGATCACGAATTTCTTCTAAGACCATCTGTGGGTGGTGGTCTAAGTATGTATCAAGTCTGAGGTCGATTGGATTTACGAAGGTGCCAAAGTGGAGTGTTTTAATACGTGTACAAAATATATGGAGGAAAATGCATCTTTAATGTGACGTAACCCGACACCTTATGACATCACGATCATGAATTTCTTCTAAGACCATCTGTGGGTGGTGGTCTAAGTATGTACCAAGTCTGAAATCAATCGGATTTAAAAAAAAGTGCCAAAGTGGACTGGTGGAAGAAACGTGTGCAAAACCTATGGAGAAAAAGTCTGAAAAAGGAGAAGAAAAAAAAAAGAAAAAAAAAATTAACGAAAACAAGAGCTGTTTCGGTGTGTACACCGAAACAGCTAAAAAAGGAAAACAAAATCTTAACGAAAACAAGACCTGTTTCGGTGTGTACACCGGATCATGGAACTTGCAGTCAACCGAAAAAGTAACTGGCGTACTATTATTGTTGAAAAAAACATACTTGGTTGAAAGATAGTAAGTGGACTAAACTCTCTGTAAAATGAATCCTTCTGGCAAGCTATCATTTTGAAGTTATCAACGAAAGAAGGCCTTTCCAACGGTGCGTCTCACGCACCGTAGGAAAGTTTAAATCAGTAGTTCGATCGTTCGTTTTGTTGTTTGGCGCAGCACGCGCAAGCATTGGCACGACGCACAGGCGCGCGCGGTTGCTATAATTCGTCAGATAAGTGCGCGACATCGCGTATAGCTGTAACATGATTCAGCAACTTTTGATTTGAAATTGAGATCCTAGAATGCTGTTTTACTCGGAATATACAGAATCTTCATCAGGTTAGTTGTTCAGTATCCATCATTAGATTTTGAACACTTTTGTTGCTTCAAACGAACAAAATGCACAAATTACAAATGATGGACTATAATCTTTTTCACACAAACATGTGAAAAATCTAATTGTTTCTATGGAGTGGAAGGGTGTTTTTCAAGCATTTTTTGAGATAAAAATTTTGGACATTTGGTCCTCGAACAATTCGTCTTGTGACTTGCTTCGATTTACATGCCTATTTAATATAAACTAATGTTCAGGAATCATGACTACATGCGAGTGCAGCAGACGAAATTGCGTCGGAAACTAAAAAAAAAGGGTTTTATGCGTATCCTACAGTTTCCTTTTTGATTTATAAATACATTTTTACAGTGAGTTTTATATTAAGAGCAGTACACGTTTGTAACTTGGCTCGAAATTGTACTTTTGACGGGGAAGTGTCTGTTTCAAGTCATAATTTATACGGGGCACTACGGATAGAGTGGACGATTTTCCGCCTAAACTTGAGTGCGCAATAAGTCCACGGACGAGACACGATTATTCGCAAAAAGGGATGTCTAAAAATCATATTTGATCATACACAGATGGAAAACGGTTGGTCAGTGCATTCATGAACCATTTTGACAGTAAAGTGAAAAGTCTTTAGGCCTATTTAAAGATTATTGATTGGGCTGTGATGCTTACATACATTTGTTAGTACATAAAAATATATAAAAAATATCTCAAAACACTTTAATCGCAATTAAAACAAAAATGTCTGTGAGGTTGATGAGAATTTAGTTCTGTACATGAGCTTTGCATGTACGTCACACATTTTTTAAAAGTACATTTTGTAATTTAAACAGCAAAATTGAGAAAGATCCTGATCGAGGTGTGAACATTGATCGAAACATCTGCTTGTACTGTCAGAGTGAATGCAGTACTCCAGAAAAGCATACATGAGTCCCGACGAAATGATAATTTAGATGGAACAGACCTCGCGTTGTTATTCCTTTAAAAACCAATGATCTCAATGGGATGGTCCACAAGACCACATCCCCCCGGCTTAAGGCTTTGATCTGGGGGCACGTATATTATTTTTTAGAGGTAATGCACTTGTCACAGTGCCTCGTTTCTTTTCTCCGAAGCCCAGAATGCAGCTTAATTTTCACTTCAAGATTCTAATCCATTTAATTTGTCTTCATAAATGTTTTTTTTTTAGTATACATTAATTTTCTGACAATTTATAGGTTATTTATAAGTTATGCCAATGACCTAAATTCATCACAAAACGAACACACAAATCTTGGATTTCGGATTTTTTCCCCTAATATTTAAAATTGGACTCCGGCCTATAGGTGTAGAAACTTAAATGTTTAACTTTAAATGGATCTCTTTGTGTATATCCGGCCTTGTTCCAAGTAGACCTGTTTATGCATAGATTTTCCCTGCAACAAATGCTTTATTGAGCACAAAGTGATTTATTTTAACCAATAAATAATTCGGGCAGAAGAAAATCTCGAATTTTGTGTTTTCAAAAACATATCAGTGTAAATAACCATTCATTTTAATAATTGGTGGACATAGAAAGTTGTCTGCTATGATAAGTCGTGTCTCGCAATGTTTCATACGTGATGTTAACGGATTTTCTGACGGGTAACGGACGCAAAAGACGCAAAAGAAAACATGACACCCTCCATACGACTGTTTACGGATGATGAAAAATTAGTAGCGAAAAGGGAATAAAAACACTTTTCCACTACTCCGATGAAATTAGATTTTCCGTATGTTAAATAGTGATATTTCCTAAGCGTGGTAGCATTAAAATACAATCTATTGCAATTTGTTCTAGGTCAGGCTCTGTTTTGTTATAAATTGACCGGACTATTGTAGGGAATAGTTCTGTAGGCAACATAATTATGAGCCGATTCCTGAAGTGCAAATTAATCCCGTGAAAAATAAACGGACATACCTGCAAATTCCTCTACACCGCAGACGACGCCAACGTCTTCAGAATGACGGCAAGGAGGCCAATACATACTCATCGTACAGTCTTCTAAAGTGCTTTCAGCCCCTGTGCATTCCCATCCGATCGTCCGAGCTAGCTCCCCGCTGCCCTGGCCAAAATAAGCTGATTTATGGGCTGAGATAGCCTTAGTGTAACCAAGCTGCCAACACGCAACTGTAGCATCTGTGATGGTCCAATCATAGTCGCAGACTGTTTCCCAAGAATCGTCTTTGTACATCTCCACCCGGCCTTCCATGGCGTTGCTACCACTCATTAGACGTAAGTCATAAAGTTCTAAAAAGAAACAAAAATATAACAACAACAAAACAATACGCCACCACAACCGCCATCTGTTGTCCCGAGCTGATCGGAAGCCAGACCGACCGGGCCTACTGGACCGACCGGACGGATCGGATCGGGCCGACCAAAACGATCGAAACGTTCGTATACATGGGGCCTATATAAAAACTCCCTCTAAAATCGTACAGACACTTTAAAACTTATTAGTATAAAACAAATATACTGTCTATGTATAGTGCGAACTTCACTGTAACACCCCGCATAGTTTGCTTTTCGATAACAAAATGTGATTTTTAAACATCATTCCGTGAAAATATACCGCAATAACACTAAACTTGAAACTCACGTTCCACAGGTCACTTCGTCATAATCACCACGTTATACACGATAAGACGCGTGAGAAGCAAAGATATCAAACAAGTGAATAAACGGTAATTCTGAATATATATCTAAGATGTGTAAACTCTTTAAAATAAAGATTGCGAGGTGTTGTAAGAGCAACATGGCATAGACTCGCAACGGGAAGTTTTTTCGAACGGAATCTATTTGTGACGATTTAGTGGATTATTTCTAGGAATTCGTGGGTCCATATTATACCGGTTACATTAAGTTTAGTCTCTTACAACTCTCCCAAAATGTTAGTCTGTGGAACAAACTGTTCTCGATTTTAACCTGGTGGCTTGCAGACGACTCCGGCATCTTGAGAGTGGGAACAGTTGTTAGTGGTGTCTAACGGGCAGTCATGTAAGCGGTTTTCCGTGCCTTTGCAAGCTACTTTATCGAAAACTATATTCCCGGTGCCCTGGCCAAACGCCGCCGAGCTATTGGCCGAGAGCGCACCGGTATGACCCAGCTGTTGACACACAACTGTAGCATCAGTGATGTCCCATCCATGATCACAGACTGTTGCCCATGCACCGATGATGTACACCTCCACACGACCCTCTAGATCGCTGTCTCCGCCCCTGAGACGTACGTCATATTTCTCTGCGGAATTGAGAAGCAATGAAGACAGTCGAGACAGGTAATACAGGTATAAGATCAGTTTCTCTTTGTACCTTCTTGTTTGAAGCAACAACAGCTTTAGCTCAGTGGCTACGCTACATTTTGCGAAAAAAAGAGACAGCGGCAACATTTTTTTGGGGGGGGTGGAGGGGGTCTCTTAAATTGATTTTGTTGATTAGTATGTTTGATAAAAAAGTTTGCCTGCCGGGCACACCTTTTCAATGTGTGTTTTGTTCCCAAACAATACCATTTCATGTGATATAATTTGGTATTTGGTATTACAGCCCTTCACTTGAAGCAATTGTTTGTCTTACTAAGTTTGCCTTTCGGTTCAGGCGCATCTGCCATAGGTAATGGCAGAGTTGCACAGTTGTCTTAGAGTGACAAGATAGTTGCATGCCAATCAAAAGTCAGTTCACAATATTTGCTACAGACGGAATTTGACACTTATAAACAAGTATAGTAAACTTTCCTTATTTTGCATACAAGCTCTGGCATTTTTGTTGCCCGAGGGCGCCGTTTGATTGGGTGTGGTCGGCTCCTTGGACATGCATGACCATATGTACGTGTGTATGTACATGTACATGTACATGTGCACCCCGATGCAGACACCTACATGTATGCAGACATGCTTTGACATCACACTGTACTTTGCCATTTATATGTGACATCCCTTTGGAGCTCAGCAAAAGTAAGTTTACTGACATTTATGTACGTATTTTGTGATTGTGATTAGAGATTTATTTTCATAATTGAAAAGGAAATTTGTGCGTATATTTGGATTATTTAGTCAGTCAAACTGAACCATGGGAGCCACTCCTTGTTTGTCATTGAGCCTTTTGTAAGATTGAAAGACATTGTAGGATGAAAAGTGTTTGTTATTTAAACTTACCATGGATAGATTATATATAGCACTTGACTCAAAATTAGTTTTTGTTTTTCTTTATTCTTATAGTTGAACCTTGCTAGCTTGCTACTTGCTTACTACTTGTTTGCTACTACTTGCGACATGTTAAATGCTACATAGCCAACAATATTGAATTGTGATCAACTGAATGAATAAAAACTTGTGACAGCAATCCAAGCATGAGTTTCAAACTGAGCTTATTGGTATTTCTGTAACCTGGGGAGGTTACAATATTATTTTAGGGGAAGAATGATGACGAGGAAATGTCTTTGTCACATATCTTTTTAATATTTTGGTTGATTGTGATCGACTTGCATTTGACTTGTGGTGATCTACGATGACTTGTGATTGACCTGTGATAACTTGCGATGACTTGCGATTGACTTGTGGTGACACACAATGACATGCGATGACTTGGTTTTGACTTTCAATGACTTTCGATTGACTTGGGTTGACTTAATTGCAATGACTTGCGATGACTGTTACTGACTTGTGGCGACTTGTGATGACTTTCTCTGCGAAGTTCAGCAGAATACCTACCTGGTAAATCGGCATTACTACAGACAACGCCAGCATCTTGGTCATGTAGACAGGAGAAGGTATCGCCGTACCAGGGGCAGTATTGTAAGCTGCTCTCCGTTCCATCACAGGCAACTTTATCCAGGACGATGTCCCCGCTGCCCTGACCGAAATATGCCGACCCTGGGGCTGCAGTAGCACTTTTAAAGCCTAACTGCCGACACACCACGATGGCATCACGCAAATCCCAACTATGATCACAAACCGTGCCCCAATGACCCTTGACATAAACCTCTACGCGGCCTTCCCTCCAGTGGCTACCATTGATAAGCCGTATGTCGTAAACATCTGTAAAACAATTAAGTCAGACAATATGAACTCAATCAAACCGTGTAACCCAATTTTGATGCTTCGTATTATCACCCTTTTAGCTAGTTAAGATTGACAAATTTACCACTATATAGTCAATAGGACGTACTAATTTGACAGCTAATTGCGAGTCAAACAAAGTGAGTAATCTTGTGCGTTTAACTAACGATTCAACTGCTTTGATCAGTCATCACAACAACTTCATCTAATTCTGTCAAGCCATTAACCTTAAATCCTTTTAAGAAGCGTTGGTCATACCTGGTTGACTACAAACAACCCCAGCTTGTTCAAAGTGAGAACAGTATTCGCTGCTACGTTGGCAGGCATGTAAGCTGTTTTCTGTTCCTTGGCAGTAAACAGTGCCAAAAACTATATCCCCGGTGTCCTGGCCAAAGAACGACCGTCGAGGGGCTGCGGTAGCCTTGCCGTAACCTAGCTGCCAACACGCCACGGTAGCTTCTGTACTGCCCCACCAATTATCGCAGACTGTTGCCCAAGTACTGTTTTCGTATACCTCCACTCGACCCTCTAGATCGGTTTTACCGAACCGCAACCGTAAGTCATATTGGTCTAAACAAGAAACAAGAGTACGTAATGTTTAAAACATCTCGGACTAGTTCACATGATAGTTCATAATTTTGACCGCAGTTGAATTCTATCTTCTCTGCTTTGCATGGCAAAATTATCGATTGGAGTAGTTCCAGGAGATTTATGAATTGATGTATATTTTCTAAAACAAAACCATGTACATGTAGATCTTTCACACGTCGAGTCTCTAACTATTATTCGTTTTTAAATTAAGGTGTGTGGTAATTGATGCGATGTTACCCGCTGCAGGGACTAGCTTGTTGGAGCAGCTAAGTACATCATAATTTGCTGGATAATGGGAAATAACAACTCACCTGTCAATCTGTTATGCAATGTAAGCCTACATTATGCTTTCATAACAAAATGTTTCTTCTATTTAAAGGACTTTTTTCTGGTGTCCTCTTACCTGGGAGTGCACAGGTAACCCAGGCGGTAGTTAACTGGTTACAATTCAGGTAAGCGTTCCGTGGACATTCCAGTAAGCTGTTCTCTAACCCTGCACATGAGACGCCATCCAACGCTACGTCTCCGTTGCCTTGACCAGTATATGCTGATTCAGCCTTACCGTAGCCCAGCTGCGAACAGACAACCGTAGCATCGTTGATACCCCAGCTATCGCCGCAGACTGTTCCCCACTGTGTCTCGTTGTTCACGGATAGGCGTACCTCCACTTGACCTTGTAGTTCATTGGTACCGTTCACGAGACGTACTTGACCTTTGTCAATATTATGAGATGAGAGAAAAAACACATTTTTTGGCTCTTTTTTCTTCATTAAAATGGAGGTTTGATTTCACTCGAGGTTCAGTGAACAGGACGACCATATGGTTTGATCACGATGACAAAGATTTACGAATTTGGCGTTATCATTTACCCCCAAAGCGTGGTGCTAATATACAGTATTACTTTCTAAATCAACGAAAACGAAGTGATAAGCCACTTCAGAGTTACAACTGCGCGTGCGCACAGTCAGATTAAACGATTTAGTGTCGGAAGATAAACAAAGCAGATAACATAATGCACACAACTCTATAGGGGTCGTGGTCCACATTTTGCAATTTTTATCTTGTAAAAAAGAAGATGTAAACTTTCGTTCGCACAAAAGTTGGAGCATACAAAATACCTTAAACCACCGTCGTCGTCCATGGCGTCCTCATCTCCTTTGACAAGCCTTCTGATACGAGTGAAGGCCAATGCGGGCACGACAAACACGCCCACAACCTCCACACACCAGGGAGGGGTCTGCAACTTTATCTTGTGGAGTAGCAGCAAAGCGTCTCTATTGCTGAAGCAATACGGGTATCTTCTGAAACTGCTGTGCCACTGCGAATGATCTGCTTCCATTGGGAGCGAGAAACAGCCTTGTCCTCCCAGGTGGTGCCGTCAATGCGGCATGCTTTAAGAGTACGTTTTAGGGTGTCCTTGTAGCGGAGGTTGGGTCGTCCACGTCCTGCCAGCAGATGCCAAGGATGCGACGCAGGTGTCGGAGTAGTAACTGATGTAGGTTTTTGAGGTGACGCTGATACAGAGTAGATGTCTCTACAGCATACAGGAAATTGGCGAGAACCACAGCAAGATAAACCTTACATTTCGTGGAGCGACGGATGCTTCGCTGTGACCATAGACGGTGGCGCAGACGAGAAAAAGCCGCACATGCCGCCTTAACTCGGGCGTTGATTTCTGAGTCGATACTTCCGTCAGCTGCTATGGAACTCCCAAGGTAGACAAAGCTGTCGACCATGGCCAGTGGAGTATCGTTGAGCAAAACAGGAGCCTACGATCTTGAGTGATGGGGAAGGGGTGAAGACTACATGAGTTTTCTTTGCATTTATGGAGAGTTCCATGTCACTGGCTACACGATTGAAGATGTCAAAGATCTTCTGCAGGTCGTTGTGATTATGGGCAACAAAAACTGTGTCATCAGCATACAGCTGCACACGGACAAGGAGAGTGCGGACTTTGGTTTTGGCTTTGAGTCGGGCTAGGTTGAAGACTTTGCCCATTCTGGTGCGGATGTTCACACCTGCAAGATGTTGGTTGGTAAGCTCGAGAACTGCCGACAGGAACACTGTGAAGAGTGTGGAAGCCAAAGGACAGCCCTGTTTCACACCATATGCGACTGGAAATGCATCTGTTACCTCGCCACCTGAGCGGACCTGGGCGTACATACCATCATGGAATTGACGCAGAAGACCGATGAACGTGGGTGGAATCCCATATCTGGACAGGAGGCACCATAGACCTTCTTGCGAGACAGTGCCAAATGCTTTTTTTAGAAAAATCAACAGCAGAGGAGGGGTAGTTGTTGCTCGATGGCTTTCTCCTGGAGTTGACGCAAGGTGAATATCATATCAATAGTGCTGCGTGCGGGCCTGAAACCACATTGAGATTCAGGCAAGATGTCATCAGCAATTGGCTTGAGGCGATGTAGTAGAAGCTTGCCAAAGACCTTGCCAGGGATGGACAGGAACGAGATACCGCGGTAGTTTCCACATTCGCGGCGGTCGCCCTTATAGGCTTGAAGATCGCGACAATGGTCGCATCACGGAACTGTTGTGGGAGCTGCTGGTTAAACAAAGTGGTTGAAAAACTCAAGAAGGGCATCAAGTAACCTCTCGCCACCAGCACGGATCACTTCCAATGGGATGTCGCCAGCGCCTTGTAGCTTTGCCGCTAGCAGAACGAGCAATAGCAGTCACGACTTGATCGGGCTTGGTGGTTTATATAGCTCATGTTGAACTGGTCGCTGCTGAATGGTGTCAATGAGATCCAACTTGACTGTTTGGGTATTGTTCAGAAGGCTGTGAAAATGTTCTTTCCAGCGTTGAAGAATTGATAACCGATCACTGAGGAGTGTTGAGCCATCAGCGCTTAGAAGGGGAGCTGCCGCTGAGCTAGTTGGGCCATAGACACCTTTGAGGGTTTGGAAGAGGCTATATTGGTCGCCCCTGTCAGCGCAGGCCTGTATGTCCGAAGCAATTTGGTTCCACCACTTGTCGTGCATTTGGCGCTGCTCTTTTTGGCGACTGCACTGGCTCTGTTGTAATGCTGACGATCGGAATTAGAACCACTAGCTCGGTAGGCCAAGAGTGCAGCTCGCTTTGTAGATAGCAAGGCTTCGATGTTTGCATCGTTCTCGTTGAAAAAATGTCTATTTTTCCTGTGCCGAGGGCCAAGGATTATCTGGGCTGACTCAAAAATGGCATCGATGAGTTGAGACCAGTGAGTGTCTACAGACTCATGACGGAGTGGGAGGTTTGTTAGATAATCACTGAATGCAGAGTTGAGCACGGTCAAGACTTCAGGAGAGTGAAGCTTCCAAACATCTAGACCGGGATTTGGACTAGGGGCAGTTCTAGGTTGATGGGTACGAAAATATAGCTTGAGTTTGGGAATTCGGCACCTCACATTGCACGGGCGATTCAAACATCGGAGAGATGGACTCTTCTTGTGATGACACAATCTAGTAGATTCCACTGCTTGGATCTGGGATGTTGCCAAGAGTTGTAATGATGATTTGGTTGGTTAAAAAGGTGTTAATGATAGCCAGTTGAAATTTAGTGCAGAGGGCCAAGAGCCGATCACCATTCGCATTGCAGTTACCTCGGCCAAAGATGACTCGCCCGATGACTGAAGACCACACTTCGTGGTTAGACCTAATGCGAGCATTGAAGTCTCCGAGAAGAGGTATTTTGTCCTTGTCAGGAATGGAACGAAGAGGACCAGTGAGGGATTCATAAAACTCGTCTTTTGCTTCTTTTGTACTAGGTAAAGTTGAAGCATAGGCTGCAATAACGAAAAGATTGGATGCGAAGAGACATCAACCGGTCTGAATGTGCTTTTGGTAGCGCTTAGAGCTTTCTGACGAGGGAGTTCTCGATAGCAAGGCCTGACCCTGGCGTTCAGCACTGGACCAGTAAAAGGTGTGATTATGTTCCCTTCGTTCACCAGCACCAGCTAGACGGACTTCAGACAGCGCAGCGATGGAGATGTTTCGCCGACGAGAGCAGAGCGTCTGCCCGGATTTGTGCTGTCTAGTAATGATCTGATATTCCATGTAGCAACTACTGGCTTCCTTAGTAGGCCGTCTCTATCACGACTTCGATGCATGAGGCCGTCGGACACTACCCTCCAAGAGTGGTTTAAAGCAGTGGCGTCATCATCAGGCACGTATCTAGGTCGAGAGCAAGGGCGGATCCAGGGGGGGGGGGGGCCAAAGGGGGCCATGGCCCCCCCAAAAACGAAGCCAATTTTTTTTTTTTTTAATGTGACATCGCAATAAAGGCAGGCAATGAGTACACCACCATCTTTTCCTCAAAATAAATTGGTTAAAGTGGTCAGAAATTGCCTCAGATCGCACCACAGAGCATCTAGAATCCAAAATTTTTTTTGGCCCCCCCAAAAATTGTGTTCTGGATCCGCCCTTGGTCCAGAGGCGGTCTCTCCTCCAGCTCCGCGGTGGACAGCATGTCCGAAAGGATTACACCCTGCCCCGCGGTTATCTCTTAAGAAACTTGTCATTCAGGATGAGGAAAGCTTGCACAGACCCCCTTCGGTGGACAACAAGGGAATCCAGTGGAGAGCAATTGCAATACGACTGGCTGGTTGACAACCGGATGGTCTGCGACTAGACTCGGTGGCCGGAAACAGGCTGTAGTTCAGCAGGAGACCGCCTTGTTGTGGCCGAGTTCCACAGTTCAGAACTGGCAATGGGAGAGGTAACCCCCGACGGCAAATTCCACTTAAACCATGTTGTCATTAAAAACAATCAACATTTGCATGTACTTTAAAACAAGAACTTTTCTTTGGTTTCGTTGGTACCCTGCTATGATTTTGCATGACTATAATCGTTGTCATGGGATGTGCGCATGCGCAGTAGAACATTTTCGTAACTCCGAAGTGGCTTATTTGTACACGATATGTGCAGTTTTCTTTTGCACAGTTTTGCAACATTTTCTTTTGTTCGTCAACTTTGTAGCAGTTTACATAGACGGAGGTCACATAATCATTGGTTAGATAGCACATATCCAGGCTCGGATTAAGTGTTTCGTAGGCCTATGGGTACCAGTGTTGCGTAGGCCCTACTCCGCCCCAGCCACCGGCACCAAATTTAATGCACAAAGCACTGTTTAAATCAATCCAGGCCAAACTGGTATAGGTCCAAGCTCTACAAGCCTGTTGGCAACAAGGGCGTCAATCGCTTCTCAAAAGTTTGGGAGTGTTACAAACATGTGTATCCTGATGAGAACTAATTCGAGTGCAAAGCCTAAACGACGTGGCGTTCGGGGCCCGCTTAAGGCTCCCTCCCCCCCCCCCCCCAAAAAAAAATAAATTGCAGACGCTCTGTGGTGCAATCTGATTTCTGACAAGGTTTTAGCAACATAGCCTTATTTAAACATCATTTTCGAGTTTAGAGTCATTGAATCAGCTATTCTGAGCTACAGAATCAAATATATAGGCAACAATTATATCAGGGACGAAAATAGTTTGGGGGAAAAGACATGTCCCTCCACCGATCGACACCCATGGTTGGCACCGTGCTTCAGAACGACAACCTTTACACATAATTTGTATACGTTGGGCCTGTTGTATGTACAGCGTCTGTTGATGAAACTGAAAATTTAGAGAGACCCTATAGAATTTTTTTAACAACTTTTCTGTGCGCGTGGGTGTGGTGAAGGTAGGCCTATATGTGTTTAATGGCACACTGCGGTATTTTCGTAGGCCCCAAATTTTTCGGAGGTCCCGGAATTTTTCGAAGGCCCTAGGCACAGTGCCTACTGTGCCTATTGGGTAATCCGGGCCTGAACATACCTGTGTAATTTTGTCCAGTGCAGATGACCCCAGCATCTCGAGCAAGCCTGCAAGTGTCTTCCCCTTTGTAGTTCAGCGGGCAATCGATCAAGCGCTTCTCCTTTCCAGTGCAGTAAAACCTAATAAAAAGCAAATCGCCCGTACTCTGGCCAAAATATGCGCTTGGAACGGCTGCCGCGGCTACACCATATCCCAGCTGCCTGCACACTACTGTAGCGTCATCAAGGCTCCAATAATCCTTGCAGATTGTTCCCCAAACACCGCTGATGTTCATTTGCACCTGACCCTCCAGATAGGTACGACCACCCACTAGACGTAATTGACCTAAAATGACAATGTATATTTCGAAACTTTACAAATGTACTGAGCACTATACGAATAGACTCATCTTTGATCAGTTACTGTATATAGCCAGGAATGGCTTTCGAAAAAAATGCTTCCCCCCCCAAAAAAAATGCTGAACGTAAAAACTAATGCGTGATGTGCAAAATATTCTCCTGAAAACGAATATCGACCCACCACCGGTTTCT